CGTTGAACAGAGTTTTGTGATGATAGTCACACAATAGTTAGTCGTCACGGTAGGCAGCTCAGCACTTGCTTTTTCACTTAGCGAGAACGAGCTCTTAAGAAGCGAATGAAGGAGAAGAAACTTGCAAAACAGAAGATGGCCAACGCTGAACACAAAGTTCGAGTGGCGACGGCTTTTCGAGGAAATAGAGAAACTGACCTGGAATTACAAGTAGGAGACGAAGTGACTGTCCTTGCCAAGGTAGGACATATTTCCAGCAGTATCTTGCTAAGCAGTGTCTCTTTATCCTTAATATATAGTTGAGTAGTATACAGCAAGCAACATGTATCCGGCCCAAAGTTATGATAGAAAATATTTGTAAATCAGTCAGTTTGACTTTGAAGATTTGTAGATTTTCAAGTTATATTTTATTGGTATTAAGTTTTAGTATAAATGACCGCACAAGCTTCTTAGATTTAATTCTTATCGCTTTAAAATAAAGGCTTTATATCTATTTATTGAAATGTTTTGTGGTTAAGGATTTTACGATATCTTTATTAACCAATTTGCGTCCGAACAGGGATCGGATATGTGTCGAATTCTCGCTTACAGGAGTTCAAAAGCAATAGAAATTTCAAACCATCGACCTTAAAAGTGGTCACGATCGCTGAGGAGGTTTTGACTTAAGTGTTTCGACAGGGAACTTTTGGTATAGAAGAAGATGGTCGCTTAGTAGGAGTGGGTACACAGGGAGGCTCGAATGTATTCTTAGGTCTTGTCTTTACTTAATCGTAGAAAGATGACTGGTGGCATGGACGCTGTAAGAATAAAGTTGGCTGGTTTCCTGGTAAGACTAAAGAGATTCTTTATCATGTAGGCATAGCTGTAGCTTTGCTTCGTTTTATACCATTAGGTGTTTTGATTGGTGCAAGAAACTAGTGTAGTGCGATTTAACCAATTAGGGTACAACTATGGTCTTCTTGGCCAGGTACAAGACCAAACCAAATCATTCCATTTTCTCATGTTGGCATATTTTCTCGCGTTTGTCATTGGTTTCATGTTTCCCGCGTTTGTCGCCAGTTGCATGTTTTCCCGCGCTTTTCGCCAGTTGCTATTCTTGCGCTTACCAGTACTTACATGGTTTA